CAACCCTTAAAGACCTCTTGATTCAGTGTTTTATAGATTTGATTGTTTTAGAGTAGAAGCTAGTCGATAGGCAAATCTATGATCGACTTGACTGATGACCAATTTGAGTGCTCCTCTCTTATATGTTGCGAAGAGACTGAGTGAGGCATATATATATACTTGTTCTTGAGCGACTTGTTCTTCGAAATGATTAAGTTGATTATTGAGGTGTGTTCTTGTGATCATTTGAATTCTTCTCAGTTTAATCGATATGTTTGAGATTTGTTTTGCTTGAACCATCGTCCTTGTTCATTCTTTTATTTTCTTTCTTTTCTTTTCTTTTTGTTCGGGACGAACAAAGGTTTTAGTGTGGGGGAGTTGTTTGTCCCATTTTTGTGTCTTTATTTTCGCTTTATTTTCTCTTTATTTTTCCCCACTTATAGGACTTTCGTAGTTTATTTGGTCGAATTCTGTGCTCTTTGTGTTCTCTGTCTTTTGTGTCGTTTTTGTGTATTTTTGTTGTCTTTGCTTCGTTTTCCCTTGTGTTCGTGTTTTCAGGAATTAGGATGTGATGATCGAGGGATAGACTATTGGGGCCGAGACCGTGATATCCGGGATACCAAGTTACCGAAACCGGGTAGCTGAAAGAGGGACCAGAAAGACGATCGTAACAGAAGGCCAGTTTTTCTCGCGACTCGCGAGTGTCGCGACTCGCGAGTCAATCGCGACTCGCGAGATTTTCAGAGAAAGAACCAGATTCGTTGCCAGAAAGTCGCGACTCGAGAGTCTATGTCGCGACTCGCGAGATAAGTCACGACTCGCGAGTCGGGTCGCGAGTTTCCCCAGAAATTTAAATATTTTTCGAAGACGCGCGAGTCGCGAGAAGTCGCGACTCGCGACTCGGCAAAAATGTAAGTCGCGACTCGCGACTTAAGTCGCGACTCGCGAGTTACCCGGCGCCATTTTCGAGGTCGGGATTTTAACATCAGAATTTCGACCTAGACATTATTATTCACCTTCCAGACCTTGTTTTGACATTATTCTCTCAAAAAAAACTCACTCTGTTCATTACTTTTACGCTTTTGATTCGTATTGGAGATTGGAAAACTCCTATTTACCACTTTGGATTTGGATGCTTGTGGATTTTAACATTGGGATTCTCTATTTTAATCGTAAGTTCTTATTTTCTTCAATTGTTGAGTTGATGATGATGGCTTGGGTTAATTTGATTGTTCTTGTTCAATTCCACATGAGTAGCTAAATCCATACGCTAGGGATAGGGGATGATTGATTAGGTTCGATAATAATGGCTAGTTCTTGATTGTTCATATCTATTCAAGTTATGCTTATTCTAGGGTTAATAGATTGATCGCCTGTTTAACCTAACTAATCAATGTGTGGAACCGAGAGGGGAGACGTTGGTCGATATAGGCTTGTTTAGAGTAGACTTGTTCGTAACTGTATTGTCTATGCGTTTCGGGAACTGATAGTTAATCGTTTACATCCACTCTCTTGTTCGTAACTGTATTGAGAGTGAACCTCTGAACGAGAAGCAATTCAGGTCCTTAAACCGAGCAGTTGATTGCCGGTAACTGTGGTAGAACCGAAGCAATTATCCCCGATTCCCTAGCTCTTTAATCATTGCGTGAATATCTCTGCTATTTTAATTGCTTTTCATTAGCTCAGTTTCTTAGTTGATAATCAAAACCAAACCAATTTGAATAGAGCGTTTAGGAATTTTTCTTCTCTTTTCGTGATTGAATAATCGTGCAATTGAATCCGGCTAACCTTCCTTGCGATACGACCCGGTGTTGAATCTTTCGATTCTACTCCGGTAAAAAGACTCACAAAGAAATTATTTTTACAACAAATTTTTATTTTTACCGAGTACCGAATCAAAAGATTCGTTCCCCGAGTCGATCTCTCGAGGAAGACGGTTCGGAATCTAGCGTTGGTATTAATCACACACGAAAAGAAAAT